GAGAGAGAGAGAGACACACACACACACACACACACACACACACACACACACACACAATCACGCACCTTAATACAGTTACACCTATGCTATGCAGTGTCGCCGCGTTATACATTCGTCGGGTGTACGACGAGAGAGAGAAGCGTGATATTGTTAAGAATTTGCGAGCGTGTGCTGCATGTTTACTTAACACTGATGAGCCACGCATGCATATATATATATATATATACATGTCATGATTTCAGCAGCAGTGCATAAATGAGATCTCTATAACTCGCGGGGTGTTTACGTCATAGAGTAGGTGTTATGTGTGCACAGCGCCGCCGAGAGCTCCCTCGCGATGATGGATGAACAGCTAACAGGGATAGGTTATAGTAACGGCGGGGGCTTTCTAAATTATAAATCGCGAAGAAATTCGCCAGGCCTTCACGGAGAAGTGAAATTGCTCATTCTTCCCTCGCGCGCGCGCGCGCGTGCATGCATCGGGCGATGGGGTTAGCACGCACTCATGAATCTAACATGCGCTGTGTGTCTGCACGGACACGGGATGCTCGGCGTTCATCTCCCCTAGTGCCGAAATTAGAACCTCATCACCCCATCCTCTCCGGGGAAGCGTGCCACACACCAACACTTAGCATCCCTCACTATCACGCGCCAACACGTAGTGACTCGTAACGCTTACCCTAATCAACCCACCACCGTAACGAACAAAACCATTCTATACTAACTCTTTGTAACCTGCCGCGTGCGTCAACGCTTGCCAACCGGGCACGGGTTAACACATTGAGAGTGTAAATCGATGCTAAACCACTACGAAGCTTTTAAAACAAGTAAGACGTTGCCTCCTCTCTCTCTCTCTCTCCCACTCTCTCTCTCGCCATCTCTCTCTCGACATCTCTCTCTCTCGCCATCTCTCTCTCGACATCTCTCTCTCGCCCTCTCTCGCCCTCTCTCTCTCTTTCTCGCCCTCTCCCTCCCTCTCTCCCCCTTTCTCCATCTCTCTGGCCCTCTCTCTCTTCCTCTCTCTCTCGCACTCTCCTTCTCGCTCTCTCTCACTCTCCCTCCCTCTCTCTCGCCCTCTCCCTCTCTCTCTCTCTCTCTCTCTCTGTTCCTCTCTCTATCGCCCTCTCTCGCCCCTTGCTCCCTCGTCGGTGCGCATTAGCCATATATTATTACGCACGCCTAATATAATAGAACCCCGGTGATGACGTCCGAGGCAGAGAGTTATTGCATGTTGATGAGCATCCCTGCGAAATCAAAGTGACTATACATCATATATTATCGTGTTTCCCCCGTATCACACATACACACTCACACCACACACACACACACACACACTACACACACCACACACACACACACCACAACACACACACACACACAACACACCACACACACACGCCGCACGTCACCACGCACGCACGCACAGCACAGCACACACACACACTACACACACACGCACGCACGCACGGCACCACCACGCACAGCACGCACGCACGCACACACTACAACACACAAGCACACACACACACACACACACACACACACACACACACACACATCTATCGGCACGGTTTATCCCTGCATCGGCCACGACGAGGAGGACGACCGGGTAGGTTCATGAGCAAAATTCAAAATACTATGTTATAAGATTAATGTGTTAGATATGGTGAGCTTGAGATATTCTATACGTTACAAGCTCGTATATGTGATTTCGAAAACGTACGTGTTAAGGAAAAGTAGAAATTTAAAATAGTTACGCACTAATGCGCGTGATAGAGGGCCTAAATGAGATACTATTACACCTAGTTTTAAGATAGTTTGCTTAGATGAAGAATAAATTCGTGAATAATATGTGTCCAGTTATCACCCTCCGAAGATATCTTACATTACAATAATTTATATGATATTTAAACACGATATGTACGTATGTGAGATTTTTCATACGATGTGCTCAAATGCGCAGAAATGTGATTAAACGTTTTTTATAAGAAAAAACACCCTAATATGTATCGCATTTGATCACCCGCAACGATAACCACGCACGCGTGACAAATGTACATAACGCAGTTAAAGTGGCGTTACCGACCCTCTCACTGAGCATCGTAGAGAAGGCAATATTTTACATACATGTGAAATGGAAGTACAGTGTATATGTATATATAATACCAAGGTATAATTCGGTACAAGATAGATGTACGCTCCCCTCATTTCTCCTTCGTTTCTCGTTCACTTCCCCCCCCCCCCTGTTCTTCTTCATCTTCTTTCTTCACACCTTCGTCTCGTCTTCCGTATCGACGTCATCCTCCGTATCTGAAGCCATCCCCTTCTCAGCATCCTTCACGAGCTCAGCGTCGTCATCCTCACCGTAGAACTCCGCACTGTCGACGTGGCGATGGTAGTAGTAGTCGAAGTTAGAGACGATGATTGGCACGGGCAGAGCTATGGTGAGCACGCCCGATATCACGCACACAGAACCCACCAGCTTACCCCACTCCGTCTGCAAAGTTACAAGTCATAATTATCAATCTTCGAATTTTTTATATATGTTTAGTTATACAATCAAAAGTTACGGTTTTAATTATATTTTTATATAATGATATAATAATAATATTATTATTTCGTTGAGATATTAGTGATGTTATCTAGCGAGCGTCAAGAACTGCTGTTTGGTTTATATCTCACATCGGTGATCAACTATATTTTGGTCGGGTATCGGCGGTTCTAGTTATTCCATTATGTGCTGTCTCTGCACTGCGATTATGTGTTAAAGGATGGGATGGGACCTGCCAGCTTACTAAATAGCCACGCACGTATGTACGCTGCATGTTGAACCAGAATGAAAACATGGTAAAACATTTCGAATAACAAATATACGCCGTAGGAAATGATCCCAGCAATCTATTAGTCGAATAATAAACGTTGTTTTTTCGTTCAACAGTGATACAAAAGCACAGAATTTAATTCCCCGCTACGTAAACAATTTTGGACCGATGGGAAAAGGCGTATTAGCTAACGCAATCTAATGAAAGCTCACGGTTAGTTTCACGTTCCGCCCTGGGTCACAAGGGCACTAGTAGACACAACACAAACACCCTACATAGATCTACAAACGCATTCAGATCTTCTAAACACGGAATGCTAAAACTAAACTAAGCACAACGCAAAAATTCTAAAACGCATCAACCGCGTTTTCTAATCACTATGGGTATACATACTCTTAAGGACATTGCACTTTGCATACCTGTGGGTACATGTCACCGTAGCCGACCGTTGTCATGGTTACGACAACCCACCAGAACGCCGCCGGGATGCTGGTGAAATGCGTTTTCTTATTGTCCAACTCCGCAAAGTAGACTGCGCTCGCAAACAGGATCATACCAATGATGAGGAAGAAGATGAGGAGACCGAGCTCGGGGATGCTGGCTCGCAGCGTCTGTCCGATCACCTGCAGTCCCTTGTAGTGCCGCGACAGCTTGAAGATGCGGAAAACACGCACGAGTCTGAGCACGCGCAGTACGGCGAGACTCATGCCGCCCATGTCGCCGCTGCGTTCGGCGAACGCCACCGTCAGACTGATGAAGTACGGGATGATCGCCGTCAGGTCGATGACGTTCATGAAGCTCTGCCAGAACTTACAGCGGTTCGGCGAGCTGATAAAGCGCATGAAGAGTTCGAGCGCGAACCACATGACGCACACCGTCTCCGTGATGAAGAACGGATCATGTAGCAGCATGTCCTCAATCTCCTGCCGCGTCTTCAACGTCGGCGCCGTACCGTTGTTGTCGCCGCCGTCGTCCTCTACCGGCTTACCGAACTGCGGTAGTGTTTCGATGCAGAATGTGATGACGGAGCAGACAATGACGCTGATAGAAATGACGGCGACGATGCGAGCGGCCCACGAGCTGTCCGGATGCTCGAACAGCATCCAGATACAGCGCATCGTCGGGTTGCTGGGAAGTTCGCTGGGTAGCTCCTTCACGATGCCCTCGCTTTCTAAGTATTGCTCTAGAATCTTGTCGCCGAGTTGAAAGAATTTGATTTCGCCGATGAAGACTTCCATCGGTACGTTCGTCGGCCGCTTGAGGCGCCCTTTACTCTGGTAGAAATGCAATATGGCGTCGAAGCTGGGTCGGTGACGATCGAAGTAGTATTCGTTCTTCAGAGAGTCGAAGTAACGAACCCGCTTCACGGGGTCACCCAGCAGACTCGCCGGGTAGCGGTTCAGAGTCCGCGCTCGCGTCTCGAAGTGTAGTCCGCTCACGTTCACCGTGATGCGCTCGTTGCCGCGTTTCTTCCTCGCCGTCGTCGATGTCAGGTCGCCGACGACGCCGTTCTTGTTGATGTCCTTGCAGACGACGACCTTCCGGCGCGGACTCTGCGCGTCCTCCTTCAGCAGAAGTTCCTCGTCCGTCTCGTTGTCGTTGTGCGACGCCGTGCATTCCGTGAGAACGCCGCACCGCTCCCCGGCAGACGTCCGCAGCTCGTCTTCCTTAGTCATCGTCATCGTCGCCGTCGTCACCGTCGTCGCCGTCGGCTGCGATTTGCACTTCTCCTCGCACGCACGCACGCACGCATGCGCACACGCACACACACGCACGCACGCACACACGCACGCGTTATCTGAAGCGACTCTCTCGCGGAGAATTCACGAGCAGTCTTAAGTCGTTCGGATTCGCCCAACTCGGCACAGACGGCGCGAACCGTCTCTTCTTTCGCAACGGTAGTTAAGCTTACGAAGCCGACAACGGACGGCTTAGTAAAGCCGAAATCATCTATTCAACACGTGGCGCTCGTTCGTTAGCTGCGATGGAGAGTTTTGCACAGTGCGGTTATCCTTACGTGCGAGTGTGGGCCCGCCATGTATGGTTAGCGGGAAGGCTAAGAAAGCGACGCTGTAGGCGCATGCCCGTCAGCGTGAAATGAACGGCGGCATGCCAAACACATTCTCTCGCGTGAGCGTCACTTCACTTCGGGACCTGTAACGGGAATAGGATACAATCGTTACGCACGCGCGCGCGGAGGAAAAATTCTTGCGGACGTTAAGTGGAAAACGAAGAAGACGCTGTTTTGCTCTCTGCGTTTTATGGCGAGCGTGCGTGGACGGCTAACCATTACCGCCTGCCCGCGCGTGTGGGCTTCCGCTGTGAAGGCATGTGCACGCGTATTGTCTAACGCGCTCGGCCGACCACGCCGAGCGTTATGACTAACTTGGGGCCACAAAATCTATGAGTGTAGCGTAACTAAAAGATTATTTCGTCCTGCGGTGCGGTGAGTGGACAGCTGCCATACTGATAGCAAGCATATACCTATGACGTCTGATGATTCGCATTGATCTATAAAACTTTATATGCCGGGGAGCATTAAAAGCATTAAATGCGTGCGTGCGGTTGTATACGCGCGCAGATGATAGGCTGCGAGTGGGCGCGCGCAGCGCGTGTACGTGTGCGCGCGCGTGTACATGTATGTCTGCGAGCGTGTGAGTGCATAAGCGTTTGTGCATATGCTTGTATGCGAGCATGTATGTATGTATGTGTGTGTGTGTGTGTGTGTGTGTGTGTGTGTGTGTGTGTGTGTGTGTGTGTCGTGTCGTGTGTTGTGTGTGTGTGCGCGTGTGTGTGTGTGTGTGTGTGTGTGTGTGTGTGTGTGTGTGTGTGTGTGTGTGTATGCGAGCGTATGCGTGTGTGTGTGTGTATGCGAGCGAATGCGTGTGTGTGCGTATGCGCGCGCGCGGGTATGTATGTGTGTTTAGTTGCCGATGGGGAGATACACCGGCCACCGTGTAGCATCAAGCCATTAAAAGAAGAGTGATTTGTGTAGACCACGCGAGGGAGAGCCCCTCGCCGCTCAGCAGCGAAGAACGCCGTATTTGACATTCTCCATAGCGAACAAGAAATGCTTTTACTTGATTAAAAATTTTGTTTATCGCACGCAGCTAGGCGACGGTGCGGAATTCTGAGCGCCATACCATGCAAACAACGTCGTTACGACAATCGTCTGATCTGCCGTCGATCACGATCCGCGAGGATCTGCGACTAAAGTGAGGCGCCACTATAGATTTAATATGAGCTGCAATCCGCTAGAGACACTTCCTGGACTCTATGCACAGAATGGCGACGGACGGAGACGGTATAGTCGTCGGCTGGGCACTGACAGGCGCATGCTCGCGACCGCTATGTACTCACAGCATTGCAATCACCGTCGACACACACGCGCACACACGCGAGCGCGAGAGCCACCCACCCTTACATCGAACCGAGTAAATAATGGTGTGCGTGCAGTTTTAATGCGTGCTCGGTCGGTACTAACATTATATCATATTGCGCTGTAGAGGTCACGGAACGTCGGTCTGGTGTCACAGAACGTCGAGCTGACGTCACGGAATGCTCGAGGTCACAACCACGGTGACCATCCGCAAAACGTGGCGGCAGAGAAACCATAAATATATAAATCATATATATATATACATACATACATATATATACATATATACATATATACATATATACATATATACATATATACATATATATATATATATATATATGTGCTGCTCACTGCTATAGCTCTACAATGCTCTTAAGAGGATTGAGACATTAGTGTGCGAGGAGGCGGTTTGTATGTAATAGATTTCAGCTCTACTCCCACTCACCGCCCGTAATCCGACAGTAGAGCATTTATTCTAGCAGCCCCAAACACACAGCAGTGAGAACGCGCTGCAGCAGATAAACACTGTAGAGCTTCACATCCCAGCTTGGCTTCACATTCCTGCATCGCCTCATGTTTGTCTAACCGCACCCGGGTCGCTGAATTCGAGTGCCCGTGGTAAATACATAGATGGCGCGAGTAAGACAAAGACAGAGAGACTCTCACTCGCTCAGCTGCTGCTGTGATCGTTCTCACGTGTGTCGGCGATCCCTGGCGGGGGTTTCTTCTGCTTTTTTTCTTCGTGCTAGCGTCTGCAGTATCTACAGTATCGGGCGCGAAATGCCGCGCGATTTTTCCCGCTTTTTTCCTGGGGTTCGGAATTCCCTTCGTCGGCTTTCAAAGTCTACTTAAAATACTGTCGTTCATTATTACAGTGGCAGCAGCGGCAACAGCTGGCGACTGTAGACCCGTGAAGCCTGACCCACTCAGTCGAAGAGCTTGCAAGGCCGATGCAACAATATCAAACATACTTCAAACAAGGCGTATATTCGCTGGCGCCCTAGATTCCCATGACGTGGCGCCTGGCTTCAGTCGCACACATGGACACAATAAACTGCCTGTGAACTACTAAAACATATATATATATATATATATATATATATATATATATATATATATATATATATATATATATATATATATATATATATACTAGCGGGATACCCGGCGTTGCCCGGGGAAATCAGTGGCGTTCCTCAGTTGGTGACCGCTTGGTTGAAAGGAAAATACCCAAAAAATCTAACTATCCATGCATCCATCCCATCCCATCGCATCCCATCCCATCGCATCCCATCCCATCGCATCCCATCGCATCCCATCGCATCCCATCCCATCCCATCCCATTCTATCCCATGCCATCCCATCCCATGCCATCCCATCCCATCCCATCCCATCCCAACAGTAAAACATAATAAGAAATCAAAAGATAAAAGTCATTAAAATAAAAAAGTCAAAAATTATAAATAATAAAATGAAATGATATAGAAAATATAATAATATTTGATATGTAATCTACATAGTCTTCCGTAAAGTGTTCCCGCCAGTTTGCGCTATCATTATCATCAGAATCAATGGTTTAGAGTCCGATTCTGAATCCATTCGGCTACTGTGACGATATGGTTATACACCATGGATTCACACGTACGTGATGTATAATGTTAATCTGTACGCCATCTATTGATGAATATAATTTTTATAAATTTTTAACTTTGAAATTTTTTTTTGACGAATTCCCAGACGTGCTGATTCTGAAAATATATTTAGTTTTCCTCTAGGCTGTGGAGTTCTCTAGTTATGCGCGAACACAAAAATTCGGCTGAACAACTTATGTATATTGTTAGTGCCTAAGCGTACATAGCTCGGTATTGCAGCTGTTGGAACACTAGCCTCCTTGCAGCTTCTTTCCCTAGCACACCAGCCACCATGAGAGATGATGTTTTTGTATTAGTGTCGTCTTCAGGCAGCGAACGATTCTCGATCATTCAATATCCCCCAAAAAACACGTCGTTGTCTTCTGCTGATACAAACAGCGTGAACGGCAGACGTTGTGCAATTATGTTAACCAATTGAACTATTATTGCGGACGAAACTAGAGCAATACGGATCTTTAACTCAAACAAAGTGCGCCGGTTAAAACTTCAACAACGGCCCCTACCGCCCGCCGCCAGATGCCGCCCCCACACCGCCCGCCGCCACACCACACCACCCGCCCGCCATCCCCACCCCCGTCCGCCCCCCCCGCCCCGTCCGACGCCACACCCGCCCGCCCGCCCGCCCGAACGTCGTGGTTGCGAAAGGGATAAAAAACACGACGCGACGTCGCACATTTGAATCGCACGATGGTAATTTCGGAACGCCATACTCTGCGGTGTATTTATAGCTTCCAAGAGCAAATTATTCAGAGAGCACGTAAACAGAGATTCCATCCACGCTAAAGCTTCGCCAAGCTTCTTCGACTTTCCTCTCATTCGGGTTTTTGCTGCGCCGCTCCGGGCACTTCAACGTTAAACCACTCACGCTGCATTCGTGCGTGCGTGCATTCGTGTACATGTACGTGCGTGCGCGCGTGCGTTCGTTCGTGCATGCGTGCGTGCGTGGGTATGTACGTGAGTGCGTGTGTATGTACGTGCGTGCGTGCGTGCGTGCGTGTGTGCGTGCGTGCATCCTTAGCCGCCGGGAAGCTCGCATGGCTGTCCCGCCGTCGGCGCACTATGCTGGCAAGATTGCGGATATTTTTTTCGTACGCGACACATCGTCATTGCAGTTTGTTTTCGGCGTTATGGATTTTTCCTACACGTCACGTTTCTCGACGCTTCTAGTATTTGTTCGTCTCGGATTGAATTGTTTATCTCTCTTGCGACGCCGTGGATGTCTGGTTCGAAGCTTTCGTTCGATACATTAATCTAGTTGCTCCGGTAACCTAACTCTCTCCTGGCCGCTTACCCCCGTACGCACTCTCGCTGTCTCATAATTCAATTTTGTCTATATATCCACTCTGATCGGCCGACCCAATGACATCTATAGCTGTTATATACCTATTAAATCACATCCATCAAACTCGTCCTCGAAAACGGAGAAATCTTATTATTAATGCTCAATTTTAGCGCCAACCGTGTGACCACATGTGACCGTAAATCTATAATATAGACTGACGCCACCGTGCGATGCGATATAAGCGTCGACAGTGGTGCGAACGATCATTTCACTCGCGTGCGGTATCACATTCTCGAAAACATGCACTGATCTTGACTGCTATTCGATAGCGGATTGAGATCACGGTGGATATTGCGTCCC